CTCCTCCTCCCTTTTCTTGGGAATCTGTATAAACATGCGCATCTTCCAGTGGTCTGCAGAGGGATGTGTAGGTGACTCCGTGTTCTTGCAGCAGTTCTTCCGTTCTCCCTCCCGAGGAGAAGCCTGTCCTGTGAATGCAGCATATGTCGCTCCATTCACCTGCTGATCAGTATTGAGTTATTTTCATAGGAAGCTGCTTTGAGGGGGCCGGAGCGATAGCATAGCAGGGAGGGCATTTGCCTTGCATATGACCAACCCAGGTTCGATTCCCAGCATCCCATATGGTCCCCTGAGCACTGCCAGGAGTAATTCCTGAGTGCAGAGTCAGGAGCAACCCCTGTGCATCACCAGGTGTGGACCAAAAAGCCAAAAAGCCAAAGAAAGAAAGAAAGAAAGAAAGCTGCTTTGCGTGTCCACATATGTTTTCATAGGACCCGTGCTGCAGTGCTCTTGGCTTAATAGTTAGCAGTGGGCGTTATAGCTCTGTGGTGTCTTGATGTTTCTCGCTGCCAGAAACTTCCAGGTGCTCTTCCTTAGGATGTGCCTCTGTCTGCCTCACCAGTCATGTGTCCTGGCCGGCACAGGATGGGTTTTTGAGTGTTGGCACCGGGAAATGAGCCTGCCGTTTGGATGCTTTATAGTGACGGGTGTTGGCCGGTGTGTGGATTTCCCATCTTTACATTATTCTGTGCTGTGGCTGTTCAAATTCTTGACCTATTTTTTTCTTTCTCTTTTGTTTTAAATTGGGTTGTGTGTTTTGGATGACTGAGCGTTCAAGAGTTCTCTATATGTTCTGCAAAGAGGTCCTTCATCAGAGGAATGCTTTGCAAATATTCTTTCTCCCCATTCGTGCCTTGCTTGTCTTTTTATTTTTATTTTTATTTTTTTTAACAGTGTCTTTCGAAGAGCAGAAGTTCACGTTTTGGGAATGGCTAATTGGCGAACATGTTCATATGTGTTTTTGGCTTTGGGGCCATTCCTGGTAGTGCTTGGGGAAGTCTGTGGTGCCGGCTTCACGCTGGGGCCTCCAGCAACATAATCTCCACGGCCCAATTGACTTTCTTGAATGGAATGTGAGTTTGGTTCGGTTTTTGGCAATCTTCGTCTCTTGCAAGGTCATGGCGATTCTCTCCTTATTTATTTTTCTAGAAGTTGGTCATTTCAGGTTTTTCTTTGCAGAAGGTCTCAAGTTGGGCCACCCCCAGCTATGCTCAGGGCTTACTCCTGTCTCTGTGCTCAGGGATCACTCCTCATGACTGGGGTATCAAGGCAAGTGCCTGGCCTGCGGTACTGTCTATCGAGCCCTCGGGTTCCTTCAGGTCTGCAGACAGGCGGAGGGTGCTGGCGTGGCTGTCCCCGGCCTGAGCTACAAGGGCCGTGAGATGCTCTCCCCACGCTCAGGCCTGGCTGCGATGTGCTGGTCTGCCAGTTCGCCCTTCTACCTCCTTTCTCTTACTTATTGTGTTTGGTTTGGGGCCACGCTCTGGCCCCTCTCTGCTCTGTCTGGGGATGGAGGGCCCTGTGTGCAGAGCCCCCAGGAGGGGCGGGGGTCGGACCTCTGTCCTCTCCCCTGCCACGCCCACTTTGTGGCCTGGGCTTGAGCAGGGTGAGGGCAAGCGGTCCTGCCCAGGGTCAGCATCAGCCTAGTGGACGCTGGGCTCTGTGGACACTGGGGTCTTCTCTCCCCTACCCTGCATCTCAGCAGCTTGAGAGACGCCACCCGTTGTGTTTGCACAGATCATCCTTTGCTCTGTCCCACCTCTCCCCTCCTTCCTCCTCCTTCCCCTCCCCCCTCCTCCTCTTCCACTTCCCCCTCTTTCCCTGACTCTTTCTCTTTTTTGCTTTTTGAGTCACACCCGACGATGCACAGAGGTTACTGCTCCAGCCTCCCTCCCCTGACTCTTGTGCTCTTTAAGTGCCATCCCAGGGCAGCCCCTCACAACTGCCCTCACGCCTGAGGCTGAGTGTCACATGTCTGTGTCTCCGACCCTGTGGCTGTCCCCCGCGAGCCCTCCCCTGCATCCACTCAGTCAGCCTGTAAGGCGAGGGTCCCGTTCCGTGGGTGCTCAGGCAGTGTGTGATCATCCCGACCCATGAGGGTACCCCAGCCTCACCTACAGTCTCGGCGGCAGGTGACCTTGGAATCTGCTCACCCACTCTCTGGAGGCTTCTCCCAGGCCTCCTCTCCCGAGAGGCCAGCATGGAGCAGTGCCCTGAGAGCAGTGCTCAAGAAGCACTTCCTGCAGAGCACTATCCATGGAGCACTGCCCTCGGAGCATTGCCCTCGGAGCGCTGCTCACAGTGCAGTAGTAGCTGGTGCTCTTTGCTTCATTGTTGAGGCGTGAATGTGGCGTGTCCTGACCTGTGTTCCTCTGGGTCTGACTGATTCTCCCCTCCTACCCCCGTCACCTCCGCTTCCCACTGCTCTCCTCTGTGGTCCACACTCACCACGCTGACCTGGGACTAGATCCAAGTGTGACCTGTCCAGTGTTGTGTCCTCTGGTGTTGGGGGTGGGGCAGGGCAGGGAGTGGCCCGTGTTTCCTGGGGGGAGGGAGGTCTCTGGGCCCTGACCAGACCCAGTGTCCGGGTGCGAGAGCAGAGCTCCTCGAGGGTCCTGCCTGTGTCTCCTTCGGTTCTGGGGGTGCCTCCGGGCTGTCTCCTGGGGCTGTGTCTGGTAATTACTGTCTGGGGGTGCAGGCTCTGTGGCCTGGGAATTACAGCCCTGGGGATGTGCCACGTCAGCCCTTGAGACCTGTTCCGACTGAGCGGATCCTGACCTTGTTGTGCGTGTCAGTCTGATCCCCGCCCTCGCCCCCTCTCCCGACCCTGCCCCCAGTACTACCCATGGAGAGATTAGGTGGGATGTGGGCGCCCCGACCCGGGCAGCTGGCTGGGGCTCCCGGACTGCACTCGTGAGCACCACCTGTGGTCTCGCAGCCTGATGGCCGTCTCCCCCTCCTCCTGCTGCCAACAGCAACGCAGGCCTGGCCTCACCTCTGCTACACCCGCACCCACTTCCGGAGGCAGCCCTGGGCCTTCTAGAGCTTTCTCCAGTTCTCCCACAGCCCTGTGCTCGCTCCATGGTTGGGGGTGCTTTTGTCTGGTGCTGGGGATGGGATCACGGCCACACATACCCCAGGCGAGCAGCCCACCAGGGAGCCCCTCAGGATCGCCAGGTCAGCCCTGAGCTGAGAAGGGCGCCCTGTTCCCGCCCACCTGGACAGGTGGTCTCAGGGCTGAGTGAGCAGCCCACCCACCCTGTCCTCACGCCCTCCCTCCTCCAGCTGAGCGTAGCCTCGGTCCCGCTCCTGGCTCTCTTCTGGGGCCCCTGGCCGCCCTTCCCTGGCCCTGGTGCTCCCAGGGCCTGGTCTTCTGGTACTTTCTGGTCATGTTTGTTGGTTGTTGTTGTTTGGGGACCACACCTGGCTCTGCTGAGGGCTGACCCCCTGGCTCTGCACTCAGGGCTCACTCCTGGGGGGCTTGAGGGCTGGGGTGTGGGGGGGTCGAACCCAGGCCGGCTGTATGCAAGGCGAACGCCCTCCCCACTGTACTGTCGCTCTGGCCCGGCAGATTCTACATTTCCAAGCAGCTCTACGCCCCTCCTGCTGGTGCGGGGCCCACACTTGGGCCTGCCTCGGGGACGCGGGTGCACAGGGACATGCAGTGTGCTGGGCAGGCATGGGTGGTTGTGGCGCTGAGGGGCCCAAGTGCCCAGGACTGCGCCCACTCCACTGCCTGTGTGGAGACCTCCAGGAGGGCCTATGGGGGGCTTCTCATGGCCCTGTCAGCCCTCTCCTCGCCCTTACCTCACAGTATTCCCACGGGGAAGAAGAGGAGCCTTTCCTTGGTCACTGTGTGTGAGTGTTACTATAGTGTATGTGATTGTGTATAAAAGTGTGTGATAGTATGAGTGTGAGTATGAATGTGTGTGATAGTGTGAGTGATAATGTGTGTGACTGTATGTAAGAGTGTGTGTGTGATGTTGTGTTGAGTATGTTGTAAGAGTGTGTGAGACTGTGTCAGTGAGAGGGTGTGAGTGCGCATGTATGTGTGTGAGTGTGTGTGAGTGTTTGTGAGTTTATGTGAGTGCATGTGTGTTTATGAGAACGTGTGTGTATGCATGTGAGTGCATGTGTGTATGTAAGAGTGTGTGTGACTCTGAGTGTTGAGCATGTTGTAAGAGTGAATGTGTGAGAGTGTCAGTGAAAGTGTGTGAGTATGTGTGTACGTGTGTGTGAGAGTGTGTGTATGTGAGTGCATGTGTGTGTATGAGAGTGTGTGTATGAGTGCGTGTGTGTATGTAAGAGTGTGAGTGTGTGTGACTCTGAATATTAAGTGTGTTATAAGAGTGAGTGTGTGAGAGTGTCAGAGTATATGATGTATGTATATGTGTGTATGTGTGAGTGTGTGTGTGAGTGTGTGTGAGAGAGAGAGAGTGTGTGTGTGTGTGTGTTGGTCAGGGTGGCCTGAGACATCTGGTCACCCTCTCACCTCATCAACCTCTCTCAAGGTTTCATTGTCACCGGGACTGCACATCTGTGATTTGAGAATTTTGGGGGATAGGAGGTGGCTTCGAGGGATGGAGCACATGACTTTGCATATGGGAGCCCTGGGTTCCATCACTGGCACCCTGAGCACAAACCTGGGAATAGTCACTGAGCACCATGAACGTCTCTCAGATAGGGAACCCCCTTCTTTACTTGCTCCTGCCCCTGCAGCCGGCACCAGGGCAGGACCAGCTGAGCAGCACTGGGCCTTTGCAAACATGCTGTTCAATGCACCCCTTCTGGCGGGAGCATGGGGGCATTGGACAGCACCCCAGTCCCCAGAGGTGGCGGGGGATATGGTTCGAGGGGCTCTCAGCCTTTCTTCAGAAGCCTCCGTTCTCTTCAGGGAATGTTCCTGAAGGAGCAAGAGTGAACGCGGAGGGGAGGGAACAGCTTGACCCCTGGCCGGTGGCCTGGCTGACCCATTCCTCTCTCCCTGTGTCCTCTCCCAGGTCCCTAGATGGCCGGCTGCAGGTGTCCCACCGCAAGGGGCTGCCCCATGTCATCTACTGTCGCCTGTGGCGCTGGCCAGACCTGCACAGCCACCACGAGCTGCGGGCCGTGGAGCTGTGTGAGTTCGCCTTCAACATGAAGAAGGACGAGGTGTGCGTGAACCCATACCACTACCAGCGAGTGGAGACGCCAGGTACGTCATGGGCCGGGGTCTGCGGTGCCCCCTCCTGCCTGCGTCAGACTGGGGGTGGGGGTCCCACGCTCACCCTTGTCTCTGCCCCATCTCCCTGCAGTCCTGCCCCCCGTGCTGGTACCACGGCACACGGAGATCCCAGCCGAGTTCCCGCCACTAGACGACTACAGCCATTCCATCCCCGAGAACACTAACTTCCCCGCCGGCATCGAGCCCCAGAGCAATATTCCAGGTAGGGGATGTGGGAGCCTCGAGGGCCTCTGACTCCACAGCCCACCCTTCAGTGGGGCCTCCTGCCTGGGCCCCTGCAGTGCTGCTTCTCGTGGCCTGACCCCGCTGCCTTATCATCCGTGTTGGAGGCAACTCTGGGTCTCTCTCACCCTGGGGTCCAGTCGAGGGGAGAAGTTGGAGTGGTTCCCATCAGGGCAGGCATCCAGGCTGCAGTTGGAAGCCGGTACCATCATTCCCACCATCCACCCCTAATTGAGTCCTTGCACCTGGAGCACAGCTGTGCCAACTACATGGACCCCTCCATGCCCAGGGTCCGAGGGCTCAGAACAGTCCCTTTCAGAGGCACCTCAGGCCAGCTGGTCCTGGGTATAGTTTCTGTGTTCATTTCCTTGGTGAGTCCTAGCTGAGAAGGGCTCTGTGGCATGGTCATTGTAGTAAGAAGAGATGGCATGACCGCTGTGAGCACAGCAGGGCCGGGGCAGAAAGAGGCAGGGCTAGTGCCAGATGGACCATGGTTTTCCCCCGACAGAAACTCAGCCTGACCTGGCTAGGGGCTGGGAGGAGCCTGGCTGAGGCTTTTGGGCAGGTGTTTCAGTCGGATGTCCTGACCAGAAGCAGCAATGCTGCAGGCAGACAGTGGACATGGTGGGGCAGGACGTCTGGGGACCTGGGGTCTAGTTTCCTGATGCGGTGCCACCTCTGGCTCTGCTCCTGGCTGGATCAGGTATGCAAAAGGTGACCAAGGCCCCTGGTGGCCATTGAGTGATGCAGCCTCCTTTGGATTCCAGAAACCCCACCCCCTGGCTACCTGAGTGAAGATGGTGAGACCAGTGACCACCAGATGAACCACAGCATGGATGCAGGTCAGCCTCGCGGGGATGCACCACATCTGGGGGTGGGTGGGGGTCCAGTGTGACAGTCTCTGGCACCTGGGGGTCTGCAGAGGAGCCTGAGTCCCGCTGGGTAGGGCCCTGCCAGCATTCCATGCTGCCTCTACACTGCTGGGGGATGGCGAGTGACCTCAGCCGGGTCATCTCACTTGGCCCAGTCAGCCCTGAGTGAGTCTCGGGGCTGTGGTTCCTTGTGGCATGGGGCTGGTGTGGAAGAGGAGGAAGTGGGGGAGGAGGGGGTTGTGGAGCGAGTGGACATTTCTCCGTGGAAAGGGTGGGCATCCCCAGCACATCAGGAACTGCTGCAGACGAGGCCGTAGAGCCTGCTGTCCCCCATTGCCCAGATCCTATATGCAGCTTCTGGAGAGGGGTGCAGAAGACTTCCCGGTCCGCTGGAAACAGGGACTTCCTTTCCAGCCTGAATCTGCAGACACTTTGGGGTCTGCACCTCCTGCCCTGGAGTGGCTGTCTGTGCACTGGTGGGCTGGGTCTTCTCGAGGTCAGTGTTGGCTGGGGTCCCGGCTGGCCAGGCAGCATTTCTCAAGATGCCAGTTTCTGCATCCGTCTCCATCTCTTTGCCCTGCTGACTGCATTGTGGTGGGTTAGGACATGGACCAGAGCTAGAGTGAGTGTCGCGGCCGGAGCCCAGGTTCCAGCCCAACAACCCATAGCCCTCCAGTCCCCCCAGGAGTGACCCTCAAGCAGCAAGCCAGGATGTGGCCTGCCAGGTGTGGCCCAGACCCAGGGCGAGGCTCTGTTGATGCCGTCTTGCCTGGCCTCCTCTTGGCCTCTGAAACCCTTGGTGCAGCAGAAAGGGCACTGGAAGTGGGCACTGGGACTGGCCCCCAAGCCTCAGGGTGTGTCCTGTTAGTTCTGTTTGTTCAGTTTGTCACTACTGCCCACCTGGAAACGTACAAGTTGGGGAGCTGGGTCCCCCGCCTGGTCCCGTGTCCTCCCTAAACCCCATGCAGGCCTTCAGATCCAGTGAAGGCCCCTCAGTCTGCTTGTGTCTTCATTATTTGGGCTGCAAGCCTGTCCTGGGGTAAGCATTTGTACATGAGTGGTGCCACTTCATGTCCATACACCCCATCGTGGAGATGGTATTATGCCCCCCTTTATACCTGAGGGGAAACAGCAGTAGTCCAAGGAAAGGGCCATTGAGATGGCTCAGTGGTGAGCACAAGTCTTGGATGTGTGAATTCTGAGTTCAGTGCCCGGTACTGCATGCCCCCTCCCAGCACCTCTGGGCATGGCCCTAGTGGTCCTCAGTACTGCCAGGACCCCACTTACCACAGCACTGGACTGAAGCTGGAGCCACATGATTGCACACTGGCCCAAGTGTCCTCTGGGGGCCACACTACAGGGAGGGCAAATGCAGAGCCTGACTCCAACATGGGCACTTGGGTCGGTCCATAGGACTGCTGCCGCATGTCCAGGTCCCTCAGGGCTTGTGGCCTCATATCCAGGTCCCTCAGGGCTGCATGGCTTCATTTCCACGTCGTTCAGGGCTATGTAGCCTCGTGTCCAAATCCCTCAGGACTGGGGGTCACGTGTCCAGGTCCCTCAGGGCTGTGGGTCGCATGTCCAGGTCCCTCAGGGCTGTGTGGCCTCATGTTCAAATCCCTCAGGGCCGTGTGGCATCGTGTCCAGGTCCCTCAGGGCTGTGTGGCCTCATGTCCAGGTCCATCAGGGCTGTGGGTTCTGTCCAGGTCCCTTAGGGCTGTGTGGCCTCGAGTCCAGGCCCCCTAGGGCTGTGGGTCATGTCCAGGTCCTTCAGGGCTATGTGGTCGCATGTCTCAGTCCCTCAGGGCTGTGTGGCCTCGTGTCTAGGTCCCTCAGGCCTGTGTGACCTCGTGTCCAGGCCCCTTAGGGCTGTGTGGCCTCGTATCTAGGGGACGTGTGGCCTGTGTCTTGACTTGGAAGTTTTGCTTCTGCCATAATTTCTCCCTCTCATTGTGTCTTCTTTTTGTCAGGGGAAACCCCCATCCCCAAGACCTCTGCACTGCCCTCGGTAGGACAGGACACTGGGACAAAGCTCAGACCCTTGGACAGCTCTGGCCTGGCTGGCCTGTGGCCATGGGCCTTAGGGCGGAGCCAGCCGGGGCTGCTTGTTAGTGATTGGCCCATGGAGGGGGTGTGGCCAGACGGGAAGGTGGCTGCTGTATGGTCTGGAACTGTGGCGGTGTGAGCTGAGAGTGTTTCCTGTGTTTCCTGGGGCCGAGTGGGGAGAAAGTCATTGTATAAGAACTGGTGGGTTTGGGGCTTGGACTAGTAGCACCAGCAGGTTTTGTGGAAAATGTCAGTTTGTGAGTTTCCTGAGCGGACCTGAGCTAAGGAAGGAGCTGATGGATATTTCCAGGTGCCAGCCAGAGCCTCGTGGTGTCCGGTCTGGGGGGCTGCCCACCCCACTGACCTCATAGGGCTTGGCTCAGCTGGGCAAGATTCAGGCAGGTTCTCCTGGGGGCAGATGAACCAGCTGGGGTTGGCCCCCTGCTCATGCTCTCATGGCATAGGATGCAGGGCTGGGGATGGGGCGTGCTCACCGTCCCCCGCCTGGGCCTCCGTGCAGGCGAAATCCTTCTTGCCGGGGGGCTGCCTGGACCCTCAGAGCCCTCGGGCCTTGGCTCTCGAGACCACTGTCACCTGTGGCCTCACAGCTCTGTCTCACCTCGCAGGTTCTCCAAACCTGTCTCCGAATCCGATGTCCCCGGCGCACAATAACCTGGGTAAGTGTGTCCCTTCCTCCGGTTGCGTGCTCACACCCTCCTGAGTCACAACCCCTGCTGGTGGCCCACGTGAGGAGGGTCCCCAGAAGGTGAGGCCCCTGCCCCCATTGCTGGCCCAGTGGTGGCTGTGATCCTGGGGTCACCCACAGAGCTGGGAACCCTGAGGGTTGGGGTGAGGCGAAACTCTGCCTTCTTCCGGCAGTGTCTCCCCCAACCCATGCGAATGGGTGCATATCCCCCAAGTGGAAATCAAGAGCCTGATTTCAGAGCACAGAGCTGGGAGCACAGAGCTAAGAGCAGCCCTGTGCACAGAGCCAGGATAGCCCCAAACAGAGACTGGGAGCAGCTCTGAGTACTGCTGGATGTGACTCAGGAACCAGAACTCAAGAACTGCCTGAACTCTACCGGGAAGCATTGTGAGCCTCATGGCTACCCTCAGCCCCACCAGCCCTGACTCTGGGGCTTGTGGTTGTGGGGGAGGGGAGGGTCCTGTGCCCTCCCCTCAGCTGCTCTGCAAGCACAGCACACAAGGACACCTCTGTTATCACCAGCCTTATCTTGCCCCTGCTCCCTTCAGCAAAACAGATTTCTGGGTCTGTTTTGCTAAGATTCGTGTTTGACTTCAGTCTCGGCCTTCAGCTCTGACATGGGGCTCTCCGAAGGTCTCAAAACAAATGAAATATCAGCTCAGCCATTTGGGGGGAGTCTGATGGAGCCAGTGGTACCGGGGGCACCGGGGTCAACTTGGCAGCGCTCGGGAGTCAGCGGGGTGCTGGGATCAAGCTCAGGGCCTCGGACATGCCAGGCTTGGGTCCAGCTGCTCCCTTGCTCTCCACCTCAGCCTTTGCTGAGGTTCTTAGTTTCATGATCTGCCAGCTTCAGGGAAGCATGAGCTGGGGTTGCTTGTGCTGTCTCTCACCATGACTCTCTCTCCTCGGGCTTGGAGGAACTCGCTCTCCTCTTTTCAGAGCCCCAGCACAGACGGGCCTGTGTTCTACCCCCCTCAAGGTCGCAGCCCTCCCCAAAGCCCGGGGTGATGCTTGGGACCCTTTCAGCACAGGTCACAAGCGGGCAGTGTGAAGGCCTCTTGGGGGGGGGGGCTTGTTTATTTTCCTTCGACATCTTTGTAAAATAATTTCTCTGTGCGTGTTGGCCAGGCAGAGGGGAGGTCACATTCCTGGAGCGAAAGAACCCATTAAGTCATGGTGAGCCAGCAGCTCTGCTCACACTTGGGCAGTGGACAGCTGATTCTGAGCTTGAATCTGGACTTTCGGCTTCAGAGACTTGGTTGGGACTCTGGGCCCTCTGTCCCTCTCTATGACTGGGCAGCATAGCCTTTGACACTCAATGCCCCACGGTACATGGCAGGGCTTTGGGCCCCATCTGTGCCCCACCAAGAGCTGTCCTGGAGGGTCATGAGTTGAGAATTTCCCTTTAGATTGCGGCCAGGACGACATGGATGCTTAAATGTGGGTCCTGGCATAGTGCCCACGAATTCTGTTCTGCCTGCTGGTCTGAGACTCAGGGGCTCTCAGGGCCGAGTGATAGCACAGCGGGGAGGGCATTTGCCTTGCACAAAGCTGACCAGTGTTCAATCTCCAGCATCCCATGTGGTCCCCCGAGCACCACCAGGAGTAATTCCTGAGTGCAGAGCCAGGAGTAACCCCTGAGTATCGCAGGGTGTGAGCTTTTAAACCTGAAGCTCGAGTGATAAGCGGGTCGGGTGCTCACCTTGCACGGGTCGACCTGGGTTTGATCCCCAGCACCACTGAGCCCCCCCCCCCCAGGAGTGATTCCCAAGTACAGGAGTAAGGGGTAGCCTCCCAAAGCAAGGGGCTGGGGAAGGGCGGCCAGGGAGGGTGGGTGCCAAGTCAGTGGGGCTTGTGTGAGATGTCCTTGGCTGCTGCTCCCTCTCCTATCTCCTCTCCTCCTGCACACCGTTGTTCTCCTGATTCCTGGCGCCCAGCCACGGCCTTGGTGAGTGCTGCTGAGAACTCAGTCTCTGGCGATCCTCGATCCAGCCTCCCGGCATTGATGGCAGGCCGTGGCGGTGCGCTCAGTTTTCACCGGTTTATCATTGTTCATCTCCTACACCGGGAGCGAGGGAACAGCCTGGCTCACACACGTGATCCCCGGCCCATCTGGCTGCCTATTTCGCCACCTCATCCTTGCACCCCGGCTTTGTGTTTGTTTGTTTCACTCACACCAACACAATTTGCTTCTTAAGAGTATGTGAAAAATCATAAACATTAACGGTGGTGGGGAACCCTGTTACCTAAACTGCAAGAAAAGGGGGGATTGGAGCCAGAGCATAGCGGGGAGGGCATTGGTCTAGCACGTGGCCAACCCAGGTTCGATCCTAAGTACCGGTAGGGTCCCTGAGCACCGCCAGGAGTGATCCCTGAGTGCAGAGCCAGAGTCACCGCCGACTCTTGCACAGTCGGGTGTGGCCCCAAAACAAATGAAAAAAGAGCAGGTGAGTTTCCTGTTCCCACACATCCGGCCAGTGACCTGGAATTTCCCAGGCCAAGTCAGAACTGGGGCAAACGGAGGGGCAGGCGGGAGGGGCCGGAGAGCGGAAGTGAAGGGGCTGGGCGTGAGTCGTTCCTTGCTGGCAGACGAGCTGGTGCATGTGGGTGAGGGAAGCCAGGCCGCAGGGAGTGAGTGCCCTGGGTGAAGGAGCGCCAGGCTGCCAGGAGGTGCCTCCCCCAAGCCGCCCCTGGGCCCCGGGGTCTTTATGCCCGGTCAGGGGTGAGCTGGGGTCTTCCGCAGCGTAGCTCTGGGACTGTGCACCCCCCTCCTTGGGCATAGGACGGACAGTGAGGACTCCGAGTGAGGCTGTGGTCTGGGTCCAGATGTGGGGATGGACACCGCTGGCCTGGGCCCAGGGAACTGAGGCTACTAAGACAGGGGCCTCCGGCCATAGGGGCTCAGGTGGGCGTCTCAGACATACCCGGTCCGAGAGGGCCATTCCCTGGCCATAAGGACTGGACCTTGAGAGTCTATGCAGATGTGTGAGATGGCCGGCTGAGGCTGCAGTGCCTGAACTAGGGTGAGTGGGGGCATCTGCGGACCTGGGGTGTACACCGTGAGCTCTGTCTTCCTTCCATCCTGGGTACCCAAATATGTTGCTTCGCTCCCCCATTTCCATTGAGATCTCTAGCCCCGAAGGCCCAGGCTCCCCGGCTTCTGCCTGCTGCGTCACCGGAGAGTAGAAAGTTAATCCCCCCCCCCCTTCCCCCCCCCCCCAAACCTCCTACCTTGACCAGACTTGGAGCCCTGGCACGTGTTTGTGACAGCCATTCCTGAATCCAAGCGGGGCCTTCTGGGTTTTATTCTGTTTTCTTTGCCTTAAACAAAACAGAAGGCCCATGCCAGCTTGGAATTGGGCTCTACACTGCAGCCAGCCCGGGCAGCAGGCTGGCAGAGGGCCAGTCCTCAGCCACGTCCCGGAGCCACTCAAGACGCCGGGCCCGCAGCACACAGTGCTGGAGAGACCCCAGCTGCAGCCCCTGCTCGCTGAGAGGACTGTGGCCTCCCTTGGGGTGCGCATGGGGGCTGGGGAAGCACCCCTCCTTTGGGGGCCCCTGCCGGAGCCTGCAAGAGCCGGTGCACTGGGCCTTTCCAGGAAGCAACTTTTGAAATTTGCTCTTGCTTTTGCGAGCTTCAAACCAGGGCTGCCTGCCTCCGTGTAGGCGGGGCGGAGTTGACCCTAGATGCGTTTATCTTATTTCTTCTAAGGCTCAGTGCCAGGACAGATTTGATCTCCCTGGAAGAGCTGGCAAGTTTCGTCTATTCCCCAGCCAGTCGCGCTGCATGCTCTGGCCCTTTCTACCCCTTTCTGCCTGGATGCTCAGGAGCTCTGGGTGGGGCCCACTCCCAGCCGCGGGAGCCTCACATCCTCTCTGTAACCCCCTACACCCCATCCTCTGTAACCCCCTACTCCCCATTCTCCTCTGTAACCCCCTACTCCACCTCCTCCTCTGTGATCCCCTACTCCCACATTCTCACTTTCTTTTGTACTTCCTGGATCCATCCTGAGGTGTATCGGAAATGAAGTCCTGTTGGCAGAGTGATAGAAATGTAAAGAGGGGAATTGCCTTGCATGTGGCCAGCCCGGGTTCAATCCTCAGCAGGCAACCCATTCCCTGGTTCCCCCGAGCACCACCAGGAGTGGTTCCTGAGTGCAGAGCCAGGAGTAAATCCTGAGCATCGCCAGTGTGACCCCAAAAAGGCAACAACAAACGAGACCCTACTCAGTTAATAAGGAAGGCACCCAAGCCAGAGAACAGTGGGGAAGGAACTTGCCTTACATGCGGCTGACCCGGGTTTGATCTCCGGCATCCCATGTGGTCCCTGAGCCCTGCCAGGAAGGTGCCCAGAGTGCAGAGCTAGGATTAAGCTCCTGAGCACCACTGGGTAGAGCCCAAAGACTAAAGAAAATTGTGTGCCGCCCCAGACAGCGACCCCATCTTGGCCTCAGTTCCTGCTGTAGAAATTTTTGATGGGGGAGGGAGGGTGGGTAGAACAAGGCAAGGCTGGGCCTAGCTGGACTACGAAATGCAAGACCAGGGCTGATACTGCACCTCAGCTTGACCAGAACTTCCAGACCAGACCAACTGCCCGGCTCCCCCAAACACACATCTTAATTATGTGTCAGCTCCTGTGCCCAGTGCTTTCCAGGGCACGGAGTAGGGGGGCCGCTGTGAGCTGCAGGGCTGTTTGGCTTCGGTCTCAGAGCTGCCTGGCGGGCCCCGCCGCCAGGATACCCACGTCTGAAGCAGCAAGACCTCTGGGGTCCACCCTGGCTGGGAGCGTGATGCTGGCACGTTGTCGCCCCTGGGCAGTGTGCCCGCCTCCTCTGGATACGTGGCCTGGCTCTGTCAGTGCTCCAGGGAGCCTGGTTCTCTTTCCTCCCCGGGCTGAGCCGGGAGTGCCAGGCAGGCATCAGAACCTGGGGGCAAGGACGTGGTTCTGCTCTGCCCTGTGCCGGGAAGCCAAGGCCGCCCCAGAGCAGACATGGGCTCCTGGTGGGCCAGCTGGGCATGGCCAGCAGGTCATGGCCCCTGATGCAGACCTTGCTATGTCTGTCTTTTGTCCACGGCAGCTTCTGTCCAGTCTGGGAAAGGCCAGCGAGAGAGGGGCCCCGCCCCGGCATCACTCAACAGCGTGGCGGCTCCCCTTTGGAGGCCTGGACCGCACTTCCGGTTCTTAGATTCTTCTTTTCCCTTTTTGCCCTCCCAGGCTTCCAAAACAGCACAGCTGGCATTTTCGCGGCTGTGTTGTTTAGAGTGTAGCTTATCTTACTGGAATGTGGAAATGCAGCACAGAGCCAGAGTCGGACACGGCTGACACAGCGTGACCCAGGCTCGGGGTCGGGGGGGGGGGGCAGGGCAGACCCCACTCAGTCCCGATCCCCCTCAGCGGCTGCAGAGCTCCCTGCCCTCCCTCTCCTCCCTGTCCCACCTGCCGCCAGGACACACAGACACTTGGGGCCTTGGGGGAACAGGACTTTGGGGTTTGTAAACCCTCAAAGGTTGTGAAGATTGTGAACCACGCACATCCCTGGGGCATGCCCCCCCCCGCATCCCCCATTGTTCCACAGTGGGGTCAGGATTCTCCAGGTCCCTCCAGTGGGAGGGACCCCTCAGAGCCTGGCATCCAGAGCAGCTGTTACCGTGGGTCTCCAGGCCTGCTCCCTGTCCCACCCTCCCGACATCTGGGTGTGGGCTCTGAGCTGAGCACCACACCGGGGCTTCTAGACGCTCTTGCCAGATAGACACAGCAGGGGCGGTGCAGCCAGCAGCAGCTCTGTGCCATTATGTGGTTGAGGGGCCTCCCAAGAAGTGCTCAGGGGTCCACCTGTGGCCCCATCAGTGCTGGGGCCTCACAGTGCTCAGGCATCTCAAGGGTCACCCCCACCACTGCTCTGGACACCGCACAGTGTGGGGATTGAACCCAGTTTGGCCACATGCAAGGATACCCTCAGCCTGTCCTATGCAGGTGATACAGATTTAATTTTCCATGGTGGCACATTCAGAAATTTTCTACCATTGTCAGATTTTGCAGGACCTCCTCCCCCCCCCCCCCCTCCCCATATTCGGTCAGACAACTCCCCATGCGGTTGTGAGCTGGAGCCTGGGCCTTTGGGGCTGGGGAAGGCAGCGGGGCATGTCTGGGGTATTTCTGACACTGGGGTGCCTGAGAGAGCAGAGGCTGCCCAGCCTCCCCTGTGGACGGATAGGCCAGAAGGTTAGTCTTTAAGGCCATGGGGAAGGGGTGGTTTCTGCGCCAGCACTCTCCAGTGGTCACTGGGTAGGGACCCAGGATGGGCAGGGTGACCCTTGGCTGCAGCCTGGGAAGGGTCGAAGGATGACCCCCTCAAGGGAGATCCTGGTTGCCTTGCCTGCAGACAGGGTCCCCCAACTCTCCCAGGATAGGGCTCCCTCTTTCCAGGGTACACACTGGGTGTGCTTGCTTGTGAGGTCCAGGAGCCCAGCTGTTGGGGGGTACCTCTCCTGTGCATTGGTGTAGCAATTTCACTTTTCACTGCCCCCAGCTCCCACAGAGATGCACCCTCGGTGACCCCTTGGATTCAGATCTGTTTGAGCCACTGTGGGAGACCGCCCCCCAGGGTGAGAATGGGCTGGCCATGCCCCGAGTTTCCAGCAGATAAGGGGCTGGAGAGGGCACAGGGAGCAGGACCAGGTGGGGCTCAGAGAAGCTGCTGTCTGAGTGTGCGGGTGTCTCTGTGCCACTGGGCCCTGGGAAGGGGCTGTGGGGAACCCCTGTTTTGGGGTCCTCAGATGGCAGTTGGCCTTTAAGGTGCTCTTCACGGATCCTGCAGGCTGATAGCAAGACACTGGGCCGTACCCATGGCCATCGCTGACTAGGGGACCTCACGCTCCTCTGACGTGCTGGGTGCCAGAGATGAGTTTGGGTCACTTTGGGTGCCTTGGCTGAGGCTGGCTGGTTGTAGGCAGCTCGTCCCGAGTTAGCCAGGGGCCCCACAGCTCTCCCTCAGCCCATGCTATGTGGGGCTCAACTGAGGTCCGGCCTGTCCTGGCAGACCTCCAGCCGGTCACCTACTGCGAGCCGGCCTTCTGGTGCTCCATCTCCTACTACGAGCTGAACCAGCGCGTCGGAGAGACCTTCCACGCCTCGCAGCCCTCCATGACCGTGGATGGCTTCACAGATCCCTCCAACTCCGAGCGCTTCTGCCTGGGACTCCTGTCCAATGTCAACAGGAACGCAGCGGTGGAGCTGACCAGGAGGCACATTGGTAAGGGCCCAGGCCCCACCCTGCCGCCCAGGCCCCGCCCCCTCGCCACTCAGGCCCCGCCCTCGTCCAGGCCACGCCCACCATCTCCCTTTTCATGCCCAGTCGCCGCCTAGGCTGCATCCTCAGCCAGGCCACGCCCTTGCCTCCCTGGCCCCGCCCTCACCACCCAGGCCCCGCTCCACCTCCCAGGCCCTGGCCTCACCCAGGCCACACCCACCGCTTCCCTGGTCACGCCCAGTCGCTGCCTATGCCACGCCCCTAGCCCTGACCACGCCCACAGCGCGCTTTACTCCAGCCACGGCAGAGTTCACCCTCTCTTAGGTCCCTTCTACCATGTGAGGTTTGGTCGTTTCCTCTCAAAGACACAGGGCTCGTCTCTAAAATGGAGAGAGCCGCCGAGGAGAGGAAACCCAGTAAGGCAGAAGCGTAGATGAAGGCAGAGCAGGTGTCCATTAGCACACCGCATCTGTGATGGTTGTGGAAGGGCACCCAGGAACGCAGTGAGAGAAAGGGGTTGAAGATCGCGGTGTGTCACAGCTGGGACGTGCCTCTGTGGAAGGATGCACAGCCCTGGTGTGGTGCTCAGCCCAGGTATTCCCGCGGGGACAGCCTCAGGGAGGCACCTGCACAGGCCGTTCCCCCGTGGGGGATGGGACCGCACCTGCAGAGACACAGTGGGTGACCGGCAGCGTCCTTATTAGCTTTCTGTTGTTGGGGCTGCGGCCAGGGTGTTGCCAGGTTCCGTGCAAAGCAGAGCCTTGCCGCAAAGCAGTCTCCACACCCCGTTTTCATTTTTGGTTTTACTTAATTCTTGGGGGTGGAGCATGCACAGGTGTTTATTCTCTTGATACTTTTATACAATTTAAAAGTGGTGTTTCATAATCACCCCCAATGGTGTGCAGCCCGGCTCTGAGGCCTCGTTCACTTGTCTCTGCCTCGGTTTCCCCTCTCTAGCCTTCCACACCCATGAGGCAGGGTAGTATGTCAACGGAGCAGTGGGGGGAAGGGGGGCTGGATTGGGGCTGGTGGTCCCATTGGTTCTTGGCTGCCATCCCCAGGTGTGTGGCCTGCCCAGGTACCTGGCCCTGCAGCGGGAGCCCCATGGGCCTCTGGGGGAGGAGATGGCCCCATGGCTGCAGCACCAGTACCTGTCATAGCCACTGACCCTGGTGGGCTAGAAATCATTGCACAGAGAAGTGGCGGCCTCAGGTCTCTGGCCCCCGCTGGAGCCAGGATAGAACCAGTGGCTTGGGACGTCCATGCAGCGCTGCCTGTAGGCCGGAATGGGGGCTGCTGTGTGGGGACTTCGGCGCTCTGGTCTGAACTGACCTGCCACTCCGCAGGGCGAGGCGTGCGGCTGTACTATATCGGCGGGGAGGTGTTCGCTGAGTGCCTCAGCGACAGTGCCATCTTTGTCCAGTCTCCCAACTGCAACCAGCGCTATGGCTGGCACCCGGCCACCGTCTGCAAGATCCCACCAGGTACGGCCACCTCAGCCCAGCCCCTTGTGCCGTCCTCGTGTTTGTGAGACCACCCTGAGCCCGTGCCCCCAAAGGCAGATGCAGAGCTCGCAGGTGGCCATCCATGGACAGGGGCCTGGAGAGCTGTCCCAGGTTCTGTGGGGTGGGGTCCACATGCCTCCCATGCTGAAGCGTATAAGGCAGGGGCACGTGGGTGCGAAGCAGGGAGGTCCGGGAGGGTGCCGGGAAGCACAGGGTGCTGTCAGGTGTGTGGTAGTAGCTGGGTGCCCCTGCTCTGTGGACATACAGCTGCGACTTTGTCTCCTTTTCCTGGAGACTTGCCGGCACCGCTGCCCAGGGCTGGGTCTCCCTGTGCCGTGCACTCCCTGCAGGCCAGTCCTCGCTCTCCTGCTCCCAAGTGCTGGGTTTTTTTTTTTCTTTTTGGTCACACCTGGTGATGCACAAAGGTTACTCCTGGCTCATGCACTCAGGAATTACTCCTGGCAGTGCTCAGGGGATCACACGGGGTGCTGGGAATCAAACCCAGATTGGTTGCATGCAAGGCAAATGCCCTACCTGCTGTGCTATCGCTCCAGCCCAGGGCTGGGTCTTTGTGCACTCTCGAGCCCAGCTTGGGGTGCTCCGGGGACCACCCTAGGTAGGGCGGGAGCCCCGCCAGGGCATGCATCAGGCCTTGAGTACATATATTCTCGTGGCAGGCTGCAACCTGAAGATCTTCAACAACCAGGAGTTTGCCGCGCTGCTGGCACAGTCCGTCAACCAGGGCTTTGAGGCCGTGTACCAGCTGACTCGAATGTGCACCATCCGCATGAGCTTCGTCAAAGGCTGGGGCGCCGAGTACAGGTCAGGCTCAGAGGGCAGCATTGGGGGACAGATGGGAGCGCCCTGAGAGGCTGCACTGGGCCCCTGTTCCCCCTCCCGCCCCGCAGCCCATGTTCCCCCTCCACTGCCAGCCCGCGTCCCAGCTGTCTGGAGTCTGTTTTGCTTTGCGGAGTCCATCCTGCACCCAGGCCAGACCCATCTCAGTGCTGGCTCCTGGCCCCTGTTTGGAATGAAATCCAGATGCGCGTGACGTACCGAAAGTCAGATTCTTCCTCTGAAGAGGGTTTCGCGTGGCCAACCCCTCCCCACCCCCTTACCACAGTGTAGCTGCTGTTCCGTAGCCACCCGAGGGTCTAGGATGCCAGGAACCCCCCCCCCCCCCATTACAAAGTGACCCCCAACTGCTGCTGGTGCCCTCCCCCAGTGCTGGGAGACCCTGGGCTTCAGGGGGTCTTTGAAATCTGAGATGAGGAGGTGCCTCGGATCTGCTGAAATAATCCATTGAAAAGAGAATGCATGGGGTGGGGGAGACCTGTGCATTCCTCCCTCCAGACCTTGAGGGCGGTGCCTCGGCCTCAGTGCTGGGAAGAGGTGGAAGCCTTCCCCCAGCCACCATGCCCACTCTGGCCCGGCCACCTGGCACCATACATGCCGCCCGACTCCTCCCCAGAGCACCTCCTGCTTCCGGGCCAAGGAGACTAAGGTTTCAGCCCATCCCTCGAGGTGGCTGACAGGAGGCCCCAGATGACCCCACCTTGGCTGGCCTTCATGCCCCCAGCTTCGGGTGCGAGAAGGGAAGAAACACTGTGTGCCCCATTTCTTCCAAGCAGTGGTTGGTTCCGTGGCTTGCTCGGATCGTAAGATTTTCCAAAATAAGGCCGTAGATGGGAATGATATCAGCACGCCAGGAGCTGTCGGCACTTTGTACCAAACACCCCCGCAGACAGACACGCGTCATGCCGGGCCTCTGGGGCCTGGTGTCTGCACCGGACACCGGGCAGCTCTCTGCTATGGCTGCAGGTTCTTGGCGGGGGGTGGAGTTTCAGAAACTAGTGGGCATCTGGGGAGCCCTGGAGTTTGCCTTACGCGTTTAACTCCTTAAGAGCCACCGACTTCGCCGTCCAGGGGGAGCTGCTTTGCCCACGCTGCTTCTGCACATGGGAGAGAACCCCAGCATTTCGTCTCGCATTTCGTCTCCAACAGGGCTAAGTGGGGTGGATCTGATGCTGGAAAGAACAGAGTCGCCAGAGCCAGGATGGCTGTTCTTTTTTTTTTTTTGGCTTTTTGGGTCACATCCGGTGATGCTCAGGGATTACTCCTGGCTCTGCACTCAGGAATTCCTCCTGGCGGTACTCAGGGAACCATATGGGATGCTGGGTCAGCCGCGTGCAAGGCAAACGCCCTCCCCGCTGTGCTATTGCTCCAGCCCCAGGATGGCTGCTCTGACCCTGTGTTCTCTCACCACCCCCATCCCCACCCCCGTGTCCTGCAGGAGACAGACCGTGACCAGCACCCCCTGCTGGATCGAGCTGCACCTGAATGGGCCTCTGCAGTGGCTGGACAAGGTCCTCACCCAGATGGGCTCCCCCAGCATCCGCTGCTCCAGCGTATCCTAGGGGTGCTGGGGGTGAGGGGAGGGCTGGCTTGGGCATGTGGCCCCGGAAGAGGCCAAGAACGGAACTCCACGCTGTCACGGAAGAAACTGCCTCCCCTTAACCAGAGCAGCACCATCCTGGTTTCCAAAAGGTTTCCAAAACACACAAGCCCGCCAGAGCAGTATCTTACGAATGGCGTTGTCCGCTGCACATGTGGCGCTCATCTGCAGGCCAAGCAACGGTTTCTGTCCTGGTGGCTGGAGTGGACAGGTAGCATCTCACCACCCGACCCCCTATCATTGGCCGCAACCCTCTGGGATGTCCCAGCCCAGTAGGAAGGAGCCTGGGCCTAGGACTGGAGAGTGGACGTCGCTCGGGCAGGGTGTTCCTGGGGGCCCTGGTGCCCTCCCCAATGCCTCTTCAGCTGAGTGGGTTCCCAAAGCCTGCGGATGGGCATGTGGAGAGCTGGTGAAATTTGTCCTTTGTTCAGAATTCGCTCCACCGTATCCTCGCTCGCTCGGGAGCATTAGAAGGGCCTGCCAGGCTCAGTGCATGGCACATGCTGATGCCATGAGCACCAGCCACCACAGGTGGGAGCTGCCGGTGCCTCCAAGGCTGGCGATGGTGCCCTGGGGTTGTCCTCACCTGGCAGTGCTCGCTCTGTGCTCTTGAGCAGTCAGCTATACTCTGGGCAGTTGCATTAAATGGACTTCATCATATGCTCTTTTAAACGTTTGTTTTCTATTTAAAAAAAAAAGAAAGACTCCCAGCTGGCACAGTGATGGGAAAGCCAAGGAGGACCTGGCACCGTGTACCCCATGCAAAGCTTTCCTTTCCTGCGTGTGGTTGAGAAGGCAATTCCCAGCAGTTTGGGAACACTGGAATTCACCAGAAGGGAAAAGTCTCAGGCCACCACTTGGAAGTGAAAAGGAGCTATCATAAATTCATTCATTGTTCCATCTTTGAAAACTGAAGACTCGGTGCAAAGAGCTCTGTCATCTTTACCCCGGGGGTCTGAGCAGATCTAGCTCCAAGTGGAGACTCATTGGTTTCAGGGAGCGACAAAACCACCATCAATCATTACAATTACAACTGGAAAAAAAAGGGGGTGGGAGGCCTGTCTGCTGGCCCGTGGCGGAATCCAACAGACAGAATCGCCACTTGCAACTGGTACCTTATCTTTGCTGCTGTTTTTGTATGAAATGACTCCCCCTGTGATTCTGCATGGCCTCCACCGGGAGACTCCAGGGCCATCCTGTCTTCTTCCCGGTGAACGGAACAGGGACCTCTGGGCTTGTCTGAGCCTCCAGTGCAATGCTGTTTGTGATGCTTCCTGGAGACGAGGGGCTACCCAGTGCCTCCCGTGCAGGACCTGGCCACTGACCACAGTACCAGACCTGGGCTTGGCCCTCTCACAGGGCTGCTGACCCCGGATGGACACCGGGGTCCTGGCGGCTGACCTTCAGCCAGGCCTGGAGTTCACATGGGGGCCCCCCATGCCTGCTTCTGTGCAAGAACTCAGAACCGTCCAGTCCAGAACCAAAGGCCACTGCTAAGGCACTTGTTGCGTTTTCCCCCCAAACAGGTCGGCCCTTCTCTGTCTGGGCAGCACAGGAGAGCCCCATTTGGCACTGCTGGAAATGAATCCGGCCGAGCCAGGAAGGCAGATGCCACACCTGAGCCCTTTGGGGCTGGCACCTGAGGCAGGAATGGCCAGATGAGAAGCAACATGAGCATGGTGCTTGAGGGGACAGCAGCTGTCCAGGTCACACTGTACCACCAGGTCACCTTCACCGTGGAGTCGTGCCAGCCCAGATCCGAGGCCAGCGAGGGGGGTTGGTCCTCGTTCTCTGTCAGCTCTGCCCCGCCAGCCTACCCCTGGATGCGTGCACTGCGGGCCAGGCTCCGTGGACTCGGCTGTCTTGTAAGACTCCATAAAAGCATCGGGCTCTGCTTCCAGCGCATCCTTGTGCCGGGCTCTTGCTTCCCCGCGTCTCACCTGGGCCCTCCCAGCCTGGCTGTTTCCCAGGGTGGATATCACACTGCAGGAGAAGGATTTGTGAAGCAGGTTCGCCCGGCGTGCTTGTATATGGCGATGGGCTTCCCTCCTGGGCTCCCTGTGTCCCGAGAAGGAGGGGACATTTGGCAGGAGGCCACCCTCTCCCCACGTGCCCACTGGCCCCAGGTTGTGCATTTCCCTTCAGGGGGCACTAGCATCCCGGAGCAGGGCAGAGCAGGCCAATGCCAGCGAGAGGCAGTGAGGAAGTAGGGGACATCCATGGCATTTTGGCCGTGTTTCCTACACCCCTGCCCGTCGCTGGAATCCGACTGGGACTCTGGGCAACTCGGCCATCGATCTGCCCTTTTCATGCTGAAGCCTTGTGTTCTCGCAGTCCGGTGTTCCCGTGTTTATGTGATGATTGCTCTTTCCCATTGGAAACTGTCAACTATTTAATTCTTTCGGATAAAGTTGGAAGGCTCTCCTCACCAGAGCACAGGCGCCAGGAACTGGGGGGGATGTAGTACTGTGTGGGCCGAGGACATTCTGGGGTCCTGCCCCCCCACACTGCTGGGGTGCATGTCTGGTGGTGGGGCGGGGGGTGGGGAAGGGGCCTTCCTTCTCCACAACCTGGAGCTCAGACACCTTTGTACAAAGCATGTATGTATTTATAGCATTTTAGATTTTTTTTAACTTTTGTATCTTAAGAGCACCTGTACGCATTGTACCCCTGTAGGTGGAGATTGGTGTCCCCCCCTCATCCCCCCTGTAAGTGCCCTTCTAATAAACTTGCCGTGGTAAAACTCAGGGCCAGGGGCAGCGTTGTTCCTGCCATCACAGCCAGCGGGGAGGTGGTACCCCGTGCCCATTCACCCCAGCTCAGCCAAGATCGAGCTTCCTGGCTGCGTCTCCTGCCAAAGTACTCCCTGGTGTCTCTCCTGGCCCCCAGATGAACTCTCCCCTGGGTTGGAAGACTCTGGAAAGGCATAAATGGGTTCCACACACCCCTGCCCCGATTCTGGTGCTGGCTCCTGAGGCAGTTTGAGTAAGAATCTCAGGAGTGGACAGAGCCTAATTGCTTCCTTGGCTGAATTACACACATAGTCCCTGCTGGTGTGCAGGGATTAACCTGCCAATGTGATGGGATAGGAGTAATGGATAGTATAGCGGGTATGGCATATGCCTTGCACATGGCTGACTGGGGTTCAGTCCCCAGCATACCATATGGTCACTCGAGCCCCTCCAGGAGTGATCACTGAGCGCAGAGCCAGGAGCTACCTCCCTATCCAGTCAAATGCATAAATGGGACTTGTTTGGTAGGAATCTGAGCTCCCACTCTAGCCTGTTCTTCACTTGTCTCGACTCTCCTGTGGGCTCCATGTGGCCTGCACTGTCTGAAGCAAAGGCCCCAACCCACGCCTCTGCCACACCTCAGAATTCCAGCTTCCTGTCACATGTGATCGCAAACCAAATGCTCTTCCATCTCCGCCTCAAACCATCCCCTTCAGGGATGCCCGGCTCGCTTTTCTGGACCGAGGAGCCCACTTTGCTTCCTGTCCGACTGCCATCTCCTCCAGGAAGTGACCAGGCTTCCTTCAGGAAAAGCCACTCACAAGGTACATCCGGGGCCTCTCTTGACCTTTCAGGCTGGAGTTCCCTGCCACTGTTGGGAACTGTGGGGATTAAGGACCCGCGTGGATTCAGGCCACACACGCTCACCCACAGCTGTGGTCCAGGCAGCTGCCACCATGCCCTAGGGCTCCCTGGCTGCCATCAGCCCCGCCACAGCCTCAGGGCAAGTCTGACCGTGACATCCACCACTGACCAGTGCCCAGCCTCAGAACGCCCGCATCCCTGCACGCTCCTCACCCACACTGCCCGTGCCCTGCAGCCTGTAGTACGGCCGGCTGGCAACACGGGGCACTAAGAACCGGTGGGCTGCTTTGCACTCAAACCAGCTTTAGCTCTGTGTCGGCCACGGCTTCATGGCCATTGCCGGGACCCATCTGCTCAGCGCCAGGTTCCGACTCTGCCCTGCCTCCCGACAGCAGCACTTGCATCTGATCCTCAAACCCCTCACTTCCTCACAGGCCAGATCTTGTTGGCACCCATTTCCTCTGTGGTCCTAGAGAGGGCTGAAGAAATGCCCCCCCTTCTTATAGCTCCTCAAGATCCCACCGTCTCCCCAGTCTGTCCAGTTCCAGCAGAACCACCATTCTCAGATCTCAGACAGAACGTAGCAGCCGCCGCAGGGCTGGGCCCTTCTCAGAGTCCCTCAGCCCAGCACGCCACAGAGCTGAGGAGCATCAGGGAGGCGGTCGAGCTGTGCGATACTTCCTGCCACCAAATGGGGGCTCCTGAGGACCCCCCCCCCCCCCGCCCTGAGCAGGCACGGGCTTCACAAAGCAGCACATGAAGGCTCTCTCTACCATCACTCCCATCTCCATTTTTCGAGCTGGGCTGGGGGTGGTGGGGGGGGGGGTTTCTTTGTCCGTCACTCAGAACTCTGGCCTCACCCTCCAACTCCATCTTTGTCCACTTCACACACTCCAGTTCAGAGGGTCACCTTGGAAAAGCCTGGCCTGGGGCCCACCCCAAGTTGCTAAGGCAAGTCCAGGTGGTCCTGATGTCGGGGCTGGTGTAGATCCGCCATACCCTCGTGGCTCTGTTGGTCCCCACCTGAGCTGAACGGTGCCAGCAGAATGCCTGCCTCCTCCCAGCCTGCCCTCCCATGCCAGGCACTGCCAAGTGCATCCATACGTGTTGCCTGGATTCTGGGGAAGGAGCTATATCTTCTCACTGAAGAATTCTGTGGTGGAGCATCAGGAGAGAGGACGTCCCTCTCCTACTGGTGCTCCGACACAGTCTCTACCCCAGGTCTCAGCGCATGTGTTTGGAGCATAATGCACCTGGCATCTCAGAGAAAGGGGAAAGGCAGCATGGGCACCGCCTCCAGAGAGCACACATGGCCTGTTCCTGCCACAGGGCCGAGTTGGTTGGCAGACAGAAAAAGGCTTCAGGGGGAAACAAGTGCAGCCTCCTCTCCAAATCTGGGTCCCAAACATACAGAATGACCGCTAGGTGCAGGGTCATTCCTTTCCTGACAGGAAACAAAGTAGACCTGGAGTTTGACATTGAGGTCCCGACGAGGGCCAGCAGTCTGCGGCCTTGATTCAATATGCAAATCCAAGAGTTTCTTCTGGTCGCTGTCTATACTGGGACACACACACACACACACACACACACACACACACACACACACACACGCATGCACACATATCACCTCAGGTCATGACCTATGCTGAGAAACACACACACACACACACACACACACACACGCATGTGCACACATCACCTCAGGCCATGGCCTATGCTGAGATACACACATACCCGAGTGACTTTGAAGAAAGGTCCCCATCACAGCAGTATTGTAGTTGCTTAACAGGCCCAGGGAATGTCACAGTAGGAATTCCTAATGCCCTTTCTGCAAAGCTTATATGCCAAGGACATCAGGGCAGATCATGAACCCCAAACTACAACTCTAAACTAGAATTGACCCAGCAGAGTTGAATGCATCCAAGTTTCAGAGACAGGTAACGGGGAAGTTGTCCAGGTGCTATTTTCAAGCTGATCTGTGTGGAGTAGAGCACTACAAGAACTCTTGATCGAATTCTCTACAGACTCTTCCCCAATGCTGACAGCAACTCTGTGTCCATCAATCAGAACAGTCAATGAATCAGAACCTTTGACCACACCAGACACATGGGCGCTAAATTTAGCTTTGCACTAGCGACCGCTCAAGCTCAGAATAGTTCACGGAGCTCTCGTCTTACCCAGACAGCAATGCCTCTAAGGCTGTTTTCCAGGGCAGGGCAAGGGGCAGGCCACAGGCCTTCTGGTGGCCCCGGTGAAGGGTCAGAGCAATTCCACAGCCATGGCAAATCCCAGCCACCTCTCCCCAGTGGGAGCCGGGAATTAGCCATCAGCACGTCTCATGTGGGAAGACTGTTTGCTGTAATGGCCTGACATGCTCCACGGGCCTTGAACCGCATCCCATATTACTCAGCCATAGAAGTCTGGCTTCCCCACGGCCCGCTTCTCTCAATGAGACGTAGCCAAGTCCTATAAATAAGGGTGAGCATGTGGACTGGTTCTGTCGATCTTCCCGGCTCTGGCGGGAGAACAGATCTTAAAATAATCATTACATAACACATGGTTTTCTCAGAGGAAAAGAAATTTATTCTCTTTTTCTCTCCCCCCACCTTCCAAACTTCAGAATTTCCACCCCCCTCAAACTTTGTGATTCTATTCATTAAACGATCGTATTTGCCAAGCTATTCCACTATTCGAAACTAACAAAACCTGCTCTATGCCAGACACCGATTGTCATACACAGAGAAAATGTTTCCAGAAAGCAAGACGGAGCCAAGTGTCGCCTGAAACCCAGGACAGTTACAGAGATTGTCACAGCTTGCAGGATAGGCGCTGCAGAGAAACTGTGACTCTACACATTAACTCTTCCTAACGGGGGCCACTAGCAGACAGCACTGGAGAGTTGACTCCCAAACATCCCTTAAAGGAACCAATCAATAGACCCAGAGAGCTGGAGTCTTAGAAATGAGGTGGGAGATCGCCTTATGCATGGCAGATTCCACAACGGTGAGAAACACACACTCTCTTTACCCGCTAATCCTGCCTATTCAATAGGCATCCCCTGGCCCGCCACCCACCCCCAATTCAATGACAAAATTGGGACACACATCCACAGATTAGGAATCAATCACTTTTTAATCATCTGTCTTTAAGCTACAAAATTGGATTCACAGTTTCTCCTAGGCTGTTTTCCCTGCCCACATTACCCCATGTAGTTTTCTAGAACCTTGCATGCTTTAAGGAGAACATCTTGCACCTTCCATTTGGCCACTTGGGACCAATCTCCCCATCTATCCCTCACCCAGGGCTAATGCAGTCCCCTGAACAGGCCTGAACATGGATGCAGGCTGGGCACTGTAGTCCCATGTCATTAGAACAGCAACAAGGAGGAGACTAAAAAAACTGAGCAAGGAACCCCGTGTACCCTGGACTGGCTTCTTGAACACGCAGCCACAGAAACCTCTGCTGGCCTTGGGCTGGTTTCATGCCAGAGCTTTCCATTCCTTGGGTAACTTCTACCAAGCTAAAGTGGTGATGCTTGGAGGGCCCAAAACTTGTCTCTGTGGTGGCCTGAGTGGTTCTGAGCCCACAAGGATGTAGGCAGGCAGGGTCTGTGACTGCACTGTTCCGTGCCACCAGCATACGAAGGCAGTGACTGTCAGCCAAGCACTGCCACGTGTTTGTGAGACAGGAGTGCTGCGTGCTGAATTTCCCAGCCCTCTCACAGAACTGTCCCCTAGAAGGGCGCGAGCAGCCTGTAGCCTCCAGCTTGGGGTGTCACACCAGGCACTCACCCAGGGGCCCACTGCCCCGCCTGAGGGGCAACCACCATGGTTCTCTCTGGCTTTCAGAGGAAAGATGGGGGAACTTGCTCTCTTCTGAGGCTCTAAGGGGCCACCGTCCTGGCCTCCACAGTAGTAGGGGTGGATGCACAGGAGGCCACCTTTCTCCACAGCTATACCAGCACCAATGCAGGGACTGACTCGAACAGGCCCCAGAGCCCTTCCTCAGGATCTCTCTCTCTCTCTCTCTCTCTCTCTCACACACACACACACACACACACACACACACACACACACACACACACACACGTTGGCACAGGCCCTGGAGCCCTTCCTCAAGGATCATACACAAACACACACACACACATATATATACACACACACGTTGGCACAGGCCCCTGAGCCCTTCCTCAAGGATTACACACACACACACACCAAAAAAAAAAAAAAACCACACACACACCATACAGCACAGGCCCCAGAGCCCTTCCTCAAGGATCACATGATTTCTCTCTCTCTTTCTCTCTCTCTCTCTCTCTCTCTCTCACACACACACACACATACACTCAGCAGAGAGGCTGGCTGGAGCCCTACTGGAGCAGGGCCTATTGCTTTGTTTATTATGAGCTAGAATTAACACTCACACTGGTTTCTCCACTTAGCACGAGCTCAGACTCGGTATTTCAAAAATGAACCGCCAGAAGCACCTGTCTAGCTGGAGCCAAAGCTGAAGGCTGCTGCCTCTGGCGCCAGCACACACTACAGCACGCGTGAGACAGCCACCGTCTTCTCTCCTCCATCACAGGCTCAGGGAAGGCTCCTGGCCAGGCCCAGCTCCCACTGTTCAGGGGGAACTGTGAGCTGAGTGGGGGCTACGCGGGGTGGCTGGTGCTTCTTCCCTCACTCGGGGAAACTGCAGACCTCAGCCTTGTCCAGTGCCTGGAACCAGTCAGTTGACTTGAAACCATTTCACTCCTTGTTGCCCTGAGAGTCGTCACTCCCTTACGATGGACTGAGGGGACTAAGCCCGAACCCCCTCCTACAAACTAACTTTAAGGGAACCCTTGGCTACAAACCAAGGCAGATGGCTACCACGATGATGTGGGGACTGTCAGCAGGTTCTAACCAGGCCGAGGATGGAAATGTCTCTGGCAGAGCCGGTGTCTCTGCTGGCCAGACCCGCAGGTGAGGGAGTGGCTCAGTGTTCTTCATCGGAGGAAAGGCCTTCGATCTCATCTCTGTCTCCCCCGATGGCCATCCAGAACGCTGTGGCCACCTGTAGAGAGAGGCAGGCGACATCTCAGGGAGCACTTTGAGCTCATTTCACAGGACCTGCAATTCTGTTCCTTGCTTCCTGCCCTTTAGACTCGTCAGTCAACTAAAACACCCTCCCCCGCCACGGGGCACCCCCAGTTCTGTCAGAGCTGTCGAGGGAGGGGAGATGGAAGGACGAGCACAGATGCCAATGACTGAGGAAGAAATGGTCGCATGACACAGCCACACGATGGACCACCATGAACTAGGGACAATTTCCTGCTAGGAACCAACGGCTGCCGTGCTTGCCAGCTGAACGGCAAAGACTTCCCCAGCCCGCGCAGAGGAAGCACAGCAGGAAGGGTGCCTACCTTGCACACGGCTGACCCAGGGTCAATCCCCAGCACCCCACGGGGTCTCCCAAGCAGTGCCTGAGTGCAGAGCCAGGAGTAACCCCTACCCATTGCCAGCTCTGACCCACACGCTAAAAAAAAAAAAAAAAAAAAAAAAACTAACAAAAAACAAATGGCTTCAACAGCCCGATGCTCAGGATGGCAGACGGCCCGAGTCACACTGAAGAAAGCTTCAGGTCACTCCGGGCACATCTGAGAAGTTGTGGGCTGACTGCCACAAGGATATTACTATTGTGAATATTCAATTCGATCTGAGTTAGCAGCCCATGAGAGGCTCACAGCAAGACTCGTGACTTGGCCTTCCATCCCCTTTTCAGAAATAATAATAATAATAATAATAATAATAATAATAAAAAATCCCCACCAGAACCACTCAGTTCCTCCAAGGAAATCTACCTTTTCTCACACTGGAAACTGTATTATTCCTTCTTTCATCCCTGCCCCCTGTCAGGGGTGACTGTGTCCCCGACTCTGGCATTCTAATTGCAACTGGGCCTTTCACCCATGATAAAGCCCGCTCACTCCTCACCTTCTCTGCATGCACTTTTCTTTGCTCGTGAGGAAGCGTCGCAGCCTTGTCTAGGGAAAAAACAGAAATTGGTCTAACAATGCCAACGGTGTGTAGAGGTGTTCTCAGATGCCGAAGCTGGGCCGTGAGTGTCACAGGCCAAGGTTTGGGGGGCGTTTTCCCAGCTGCTGGGAAGTCTAACCTGATGGAAATGACGGGAGTAAAGGGGTCTGTGGGGGGAGGAGCAGGGGAAGGTTTGCAGGCACCTGGTTCAGTGGCAGGAGGAGAAAAAGGAAGAGGAACGGGAGGAAGAGAACTGCCCCCACAGAGCACAGCACAGCCCCATCAGCTCCCAAAGAAAACCCTGTCAGGGAAAATCAAACAGCACCAAGCTGGGGGTGGGGATGGGGGTGTGTGACAAAGGGGGGACCTGGTTACCTTTCATCTCCTTGAGCTTCGAGAACAGTCGCTCAAAGTTCTCCACGTCCGCTCCACCCGCAGTAAGACTAGCGAGTTCCTGAATGTCCAGATCTAACATGGGGTCTAAAATAAGAGCAGGGTCAGTCAGCACACAGTATGTGTGATGGTCTGCACCCCCAAGGGGACAGCCACGACACACGCAGGTCCAGCTGCCTGGGGACCCTCACTGGGGAGAGGTCAGGGATACTATTTCCATTGGAGAGGCAAGCAGGCTAAGAGCTGAAGTGACGCGTTCCCTGTCATGGCTCGTAAGGGGGACCCTGGATGCAGGTCTCGGGGTCCAGTGTCCACGGAGAGGTCCGGGTACAAAACCTCGCTATGAGGATGCCTTGAGATGGGCAGGGCAGATGGGGGGACACACTGACAGGGGCGTCAGCTCAATTTAATTGAACTCACGGACAGCGCTGATGTTCAGAGGTGGTGCTCATTTAAGCTCTTCACACACAAAAAACTACAACTGAAAAAGGGTTTCGACCAACAGGACAGTGGGGAGGGCACTTGCCTTGCACCGCATGTGGCCCTGAGCATAGCCAGAGTGATCCCTGAGCACAGAGCTAAGAGTAAGCCCGGAGCACTGCAGGGTGTGCCCCCCCCACACACCATCCAGTCCCAACGCCACTCAAAACTAAATTCCTCTTTTTAAAAAATATTTACTTGGGGTTTGGGGAAGCAGGCAAAGCAATAGAACATTGGGAAGGGCATTTGCCTTGCATGTGGTCAACTGGAGTTTGATCCCCAGCACCCCAGGAGTGATCCCTGAGTGCAGAGCCAGGAATAAGCCCTGAGCACAGAAGTGAGCACAGAGCACAGAGTCAGGAGTAAGCCCTGACTATTGCCGGGTTTGTGCCCTCTCTCCAAAAAAAAAAAAAAACCCCAAGAAAAAATTTATTTGGGGGGCTGGTGAAATAATACAATGGGGAGGGCACTGGCCTTGCATGCGCTGACCCAGGGTCAATCCCCGGCATCCCACATGATCCCCTGAGCCAGTCAGAGTGAGCCCTTAGCACTGCCCATGGTGGCCCCCAAATCAAAATAAGTTTATGTGGGGGGCTCCCAGACGGTGCTCAGGGAAATGGGGGCAAGAGAGGGGAGTGTGTGTGCCCATTCAAGGCATGTGTCCCGAGCGACCTCCCTACCCCCAAGCCCATCTCTTCCCTGTACAAAATCCTTATTACTGCACCAAGCTTTTTTTTTTTTTTTTGCTTTGTGGGTCATACCCAGTGATGCACAGGGGTTACTCCTGGCTCTGCACTCAGGAGTTATTCCTGGCGCTGCTCAGGGGAACATATGGGATGCTGGGAATCAAACCCGGGTTGGTTGAGTGCGAGGCAAAGCCCTGCCCGCTGTGCTTTCACTCCAGACCCTGAACCTGTTATTTTTTTGTTTAAAAAAAAAAACAAACAATTGAAGTTTGCTATCTCCATTCTGGACAGAGGAGCTGGTCCTGAACACCCACCCCGGGGCCCAGGTCTTTTTCCTTAGAAACCCTCCCCATAGGGCTGTCTCAGCACTGGCCTGTACTGCTCTACACTCTGGTGTCTCTTCACTGTGGACATAATAAAGAGCAGCATGGCTGGGGTGCACCATTCCATTTCCGCAACCACCTCGCCCAGTGAGAAAGTCAGGGCCCCGACACAAAGTCCTCTTCCTGCTGGCAGCATACACATGGCTTCCTTTAAGCTAGCAAAGGCTCTGGGGCTGGAGCGATAGCACAGCGGATAGGGAATTTGCCTTGCATGCGGCCGAACCAGGTTCGATTCTCGGAATCCCATTAGGTCCCCTGAGCACCGCCAGGAGTAGTTCCTGAGTGCAGAGTCAGGTGTAACCCCTGTGCATCGCGGGGTGTGACCCGAAAAGCAAAAAATAAATAAATTAGCAAAGGCTCATTCTCAGCCCATGCTTTAGGCTCTAGGTCACAAGGCCTTTCTCTATAGTTCCAGACTCTCAGCTCCTTGAACACGGAGCTTCCTATCCTTTGCAACTACTATAATGCCACACAGATGATCTGATGTTAAAAATATGTCTTGGCTCGGGGCCCGAGCCATAGTACAGCAGGGAAGGTCCTTGCCTTGCATGCAGTTGACCTGAATTTGATCCCGGGGATCACATATGGTTTCCTGAGCACTGCCGGGAGTAATTCCTGAGTGCAGAGTCAGGAGTAACCCTGAGCATCACTGGCTCCAAAACTAAGAAAAGTATTATGGCTTGGGGCTGGAGTCCAGCAGATAGGGCGCTTACCTTGCATGCAGCCAACCTGGGTTTGATCCCTGGCATCCCATATAGTCCCCTAAGCAGTGCGAGGAGTTAGCCCTGAGCACCACTGAGTGTGGCCCCCATAAAACAGTAACAAAAACACAAAAAAGCATCCTGGCCAAGGATGTGGCTTCATGAGAGAAACTTGCCTTGTACGGGTGAGGCTCTAGGTTTGGTGTCCAGTACCATGTGGTCCCCCCCTAACTCCCCAGGCAGCAATCTCTGAGCATCTCTAAGCGAGTAGCTCTGGGCACTGCCAAATATGACGTAACTGCATGCCTGGCTCCGAATGCATTCTGGTTAATAAATATGCTCGAGGCGTGCCAGTTAATAGGTCACAGGCAGTGGGTACACAGGACTAGAGTTAACACTTGGTGACTTATCTGTGTAGACAATGATAACTGTGGACATAGATAGAATCGCATATGATTAAATTTACATTGGGGAATTTAAATCTGAACTGAGAAATGGCAATATTTAAAGCCTGGGTAGGGGAGAGCACTCTTCCAAAGAAGAGAAGAAAATATCCAAGAAATGTGTTGGCAGACTACCCAGAACCGTGATGGGTGAGTGGAGAGAAGACAGTACTTCAAAACAGAGACTGGTCCTTGACAGTGGACACCAATGACAAGTGGTTGGGATGAGGCGTGGATGATGCCCCTAAGAAAAGCTGCGTGTGTGACACAATGGGAGAAGAGCGGGATGGGTGGCCGAAAGCAATCGAGCACTGCAGAGAGAGTGACGGGAGAAGGACATGGTGTCTTCAAAATTTTCTCTAACCTTGATTAAAAATTCAAAATTGCCCCCCGCCCGGACAAGACCCCGAGTTGCCGGCCATGAACGACTCCTCTGCTCCGAAACGGCCATGATCCCAGAGGCACACAAACCAATCTCAGAACCCAGCGGCTTCTGGCAGAAATCCCTCTGGACTTAATTACCAAAATACTAGAAACCCAAATGTTGTTCATTATCAGCAATAGAAAATAAATTATCTAATGATGTCTTTTTGGCAGGTCTGATTTTTTGGGGGAAAATTCCAAATAATAATAGTGGGGTCTTCTTCAAAAAATTGAATGTAATCAAAGTAAAGAGAGAGTAAAGTGAAAATCATCTGCCACACAGACAGGGGAAGGAGTGGGATGGGGGTATACTGGGGTTCTTGGTGGTGGAACATGTACACTGGTGAAGGGATGGGTGTTTAATCATTGTACGACCGAGACTTAAACTTGAAAGCTTTTTAACTGTTCTCACAGTGATTCAATAAAAAAAAAAATTCAAAATCATTTTAGTCTCACAAAAAAACTTGCAAAGATAGTTTCGAATCTTAAAAAAGACCTTCCCTTCCCTTCTCTTAAAAATGCCAAGTGAATCAGGGCACAGAACTGATAACGAGAGACTTGTTCGGATGTCTCCCTGAGTGTTACAGCTTGATGCTTCTGAAGAGTCTGGGGCAGCTACTCTGCCCCCAACTTTGGTTCACCTAAAGTTTGCTATCACTAGATTTTCTTTACTGGAGAATGACACTCAGAAGCCAGGGTCTAAATGACCCCATTGCAACTGGAATGCTTCAAGGCCTTCTTGGGGTTGGAGCGAGAGAGAACGAGGAGAGAGAGAGAGAGAGAGAGAGAGAGAGAGAGAGAGAGAGAGAGAGATTCCATGCCAAACTTTGTTACTTAATGAGAGCAGACATGAAAGTGCTTCAGTTGGCTCTTCAAAGGCTACTGCAGTTGGGCCATTCTTGGCACCGTCAATTCTGACTCTGGGTCAATCCTCTAGAGAGGCACCTGCGAGGTGGGTTCAGCTCCTGGTTCTGCTGGGGCTACAGTGACCGTGCCGCAAGATGCTGAGAGAAAGCCGTACTCGCATGTGTCCAAGTGTCTCCTCCCTCCCTTCTGGGCCCTTCCTGCTTCGGAGAAGCATCCTCTGAGGTGGATGGCCAGGCCCAGCTGCAGCCCAGGCTCCACAGCACCCTTTCTCGGAGGAACTTACCAGCCAGGCTGTCCACCTGAGGATCTGCCGCGTCGGCCGCACTGCCCGGGTGATCCCCAAGGGTTTCGGTCCCATCTGCTGCTGGCGTGCACTGCTGGACAAAAGACACACAGGCTGCTGTAGAGCTTGCTCTCAGCAGGCTCCCAGCTGACTTTACGGAAAGACTGAGCAGGAACCCGAGTCAGGGGAGATACAAGGAGGGGTACAGGGAAAGGGGGGTGTGGGCTGGAAAGAGTGCAGGGATTCGGGCACTTGCCTTGCATGCAGCTGACCCGAGTTCCATCCCTGGTGCCAAATGTGGTCCCATGAGCCCTGCCAGGAGTGATCCCTGAGCACTGTGGGTGTGGCCCAAGCCCTACTCCCCCTACCAAAAAAAAAAAAAGGCTAAAATTCACTACCTCAGGTGCATTTTCCCCCTCAAGGAAAATAAAGAGGGGCTGGAGCGATAGCACAGCAGGGAGGGCGTTTGCCTTGCACGCGGCCGACCCGGGTTCGATTCCCAGCATCCCATATGGTCCCTATGGTCCCCCGAGCACCAAGTGCATGAGCCAGGAGTAACCCCTGTGCTTTGCTGGGTGTGACTCAAAAAGCAAAAAAAAAAAAAAAAAAAAAAAGGAAAATAAAGAACCACAACTTTTCCATTGACTAATAAAATTGTATTGTTCACTTAGGATCCACATTTTATTCAACACGTGAGAAAACTGGCACCTTTTGATAGACAAACAGCCCCAGCAACAGTGAGCCAGATGCTGGCCTGCCCCACACTAGCACGCCGATCCAGGTAGGAGCTGGCTGGCACCCCAGGGGCATCGAAGCTCACTACGGGCAGGGCCTTGCTCCAACTGTACAGGGTCTGCTCACCAGAGCTCCTTGGAAAGAATCCCCAACTTCATTTCAGACGGAAAGATTGGGGGCCAAGTCTTAGGCCTTAAGAAATTCGGGCCTAACTTCTTCAAAGCCCTCATTCAAGCAGAAACAGCCTGAAGGGCAAACCCTGGACAGGGCTTCCGGGGGTCATGCCGAGCCAGTCTTCTCCCCACAGGGACCAGACGCTGACAAGGCTGCTTCACATTTTCTTTTTCCCTATTTTTACTTTGGTTTGGGGGGGGACACATCTGGGGGTGTTCCTGGCTCTGTGCTTCAGGATCACTCCGAGCAGAGTTCAGGGGACCGTATGAAGTCCCACAGCTCAAATTTGGGTTGGCTGCCATGTATAAGACTGTAGCACTGCAGCACTGTCCTCCCGTTGTTCATCGATTTGCTCGAGCGGGCACCAGTAACGTCTCCATTATGATACTTGTTGTTACTGTTTTTGGCATATCAAATACGCCACAGGGAGATTGTCAGGCTCTGCTGTGTGGGCGGGATATTCTTGGTAGCTCGCCAGGCTCTCCAAGAGGGGTGGAGGAATTGAACCCCGGTCAGGCGCGTGCAAGGCAAACACCCTACCCACTGTGCTATCGCTCCAGCCCAGGTGCCATAACCCCTGTCCCATCTCTCTAGTCCCATCGTTTAAATTTCATATTCTCCATCACTCTGAGCTGGGAAGGGGAAGAGGATGAGTGGGTTCAGGACATGCAGCCAAAGCAGAGACAAGGGTTACCTCGGAGCGTGCCCTTTCTGCAATCCCGACGCTAGGGTGGGCGCCGGCCAATGAGCTGAGAAGGCTAAAGCCTTGATTCCGATCTGAAAAGGAAAAATAGCGGTGCTGAAGTTTTTTATTTGCAGTTCCCATCTGAAAGATGAATGCTAATGAATAATTAGCATATCCCATTAGCATATTGTACATTCACATATCTTTCAGTAGCACACCACAGGATGAAAGCCTTAAGGACAGGGACAAAAACACTCCCATCAATTACCACACTCCCTCAATGCTCCATCCCTTTTAACATCACTATCAGCTCAGGACACACATGATGGCAGCAATGCAAACAACAGCCCAAGCCGCTTGGCCATCCTGCAGGCGCTGGCCGGCACCAGGAGCCAGTGGACAGTGTCTTCACGAGTGGGGACCCTGGAAACCCCGCTCTCCCGCAGTGCTCTCTGTGGAACAGGACCCAGAGGCTTCTAGAGATCCACCTTTCTGTGGGAGTAACGGAGCAGGCCCTAGGTGATCCAGGAGACCCTGTATTCCTTTCTTTTTCTTTCTTTCTTTCTTTCTTTCTTTCTTTCTTTCTTTCTTTCTTTCTTTTTCTTTCTTTTTATTATTATTTTCTTTTAATGAATCACCGTGAGGTACAGTTACAGACTTACACACTTTCGTGCTTATGTTTCAGTCATACAATGTTCGAGTACCCATCCCTCCACCAGTGCCCATTCTCCACCACCAATGATCCCAGAATCCCTCCCGCCTTCCCCACCCCACCCCACCTCTGTGGCAGGGCATTCCCTTTTGCTCTCTCTCACTCCTTTTGGGTGTTGTGGTTTGCAATAGAGGTATTGAGTGACCATCATTCGGAGACCCCATATTCTTGCACCCTCTGTTTACAGAGAACAAGTCTGGAGCCCAACACGTCAAACCGAGAAAAGGCCCAGTGAGCCTTGGTGCCACAGCATGCCAAAGTCACCCCCAGATTCAAGGACCTGGCCTTGAGTCTCTGGGGATTGAAAGGCCAAAGAATCTGCATCTTGGGAAGTTTGGACCAGAGAAACTGCAAAGCAGCAGGGACATGAGCAAAGCACGAGACAAACCGCAGAGATGGCTGGGGACAGCTCTCTCCCTCAGCCCTTCCTGGATGCCTGTCTTTCTTTAAACATGAGGGCTGGAAAATAGTGCATCAGCCTGGAGCACTCTGCAGAGAGTCTGGGATTGGGTCCCAACCCCTAATGGTCCCTCAGCAGTGCCCCCAACACTCACAAGTCCCCTGTCCTTTCCCAGTGAAGCCTGAGTGACACTCTGCTGTCAGGGAGCACTGGTCACCCCCTGGCTGCGTCCTGGGGAGAATCACCTCTGATTCTGGGTGCCCCCCGTGGTGACTGGCCTCTGTAGCCCTCTCCAGTCAGCCTTTCAGCACTGGGGCCTGCTGCTCATGGCCTGGGCCCCAGGACTGAGCTTCCAAGGCTGCAAAGGTGTCCAGCAACTGCAGTGTCTGGGTTTACCATCTTCAAAACATGGCAGCAAGGCCAAGGGAACATGCGTATTACTGCAGCCCTGGCCTGGCCCACTGGCTCACTCTTTCAGGAAGCCTCCAGGCCCCAGCCAGGGTGGGTGCCCCCCACCCTGAACCATCACAGTGGGCACTGGGGGTTCTGGGGCCAATGGGGCTGCTCCTGGCATCCAGAGGCACTCATGCAAATAGCAACCGGTTTCTTTCTTTGGGATCAAGGCTTGGTAGGTTGGAAGGCATTTGTGTGTATCTGAGTAACACTCGGGGAATTTTACTCATCACCAGGATATACAAGCACTCGTTGCAATACACGTTGGTGGCCCAAACAGGTATGCTTCACATGACAGTGTGCTTCCAGAAGAAAAGTGCTCACTTCTCCTAATCACATGGGCTGTGGCTTGCCATAGTTATGCTGCAGGGCCCTGCACCAGGCTGTTTCATTCAGGGCGCCCTGGAAGGCGGGTGCCCTCTGCCGAAAGGTCCCTCTGCCGAAAGGGACCCAGCCCTGGCAGCCAAAAACCTCTAGAACTCAAGCACCGCCATATTCATAGCTGTTCTCCACATGTTCAGGCCGAGCCTCACCCATGAGTGAACTTATCCCTGGACACTTCATACCACACACTTCCATACTCCAAGAGTACTGCACCACATTTGATGGGGTTCAAAGTAGGACACAACCAATCTTAGAGGGAAATATATATATATTACAGATATAGGCACTCAAGGCTTTAACAACATGTTAGTGATCTCTTATAGAAGGGCTTATTGGCCCCGGGGTGAAATACAACAACCTTCACACTCTTTCCTTTAAGGAAACATTTTGTAGCATTTTCAGTGGTTTTTCATAACAAACAATACAAAATATATTATTTCGGTTCTGCTTTGGGGCAGGGGTTGGGGTTCGGGATGGAAACATCCAAACTATGGCGGTAGGAAGTTGTAATGGTGGTGAGATTGGTGTTTGAACATTAAATGTAATGTTCATTTAATTTACATTTAAACATTAAATGTAATGAAATACTGTGAACTACTTTTTTAAAAAAAAAATTAAACAAAAGAAAACATGGGCTGTGGGTTATTTTCAAGCCCAATTCACAGATTGTCGTACTCTACACACCTGGCCTGTTTTCCCTCCACCAGGTGCTACCTAGCCTGAGCGATGGGTGGAAAACCCTTTAGCACGGTGCGGGCCGGAAGCAGGAGAACTCACCTATGTCCCACTGTGCACAGGAAGTTAGAACTATGATTCAGTATTGCTGACTGCTAATTACTACTACTTTCAAACTTTGGCTATTTTACAGTTTCTAAATACTCTTAATTTCTTTTCTTCCTGGTTTTTAGGTGCGGAGGTGTTCAGGACTTATTCTTGGCTCTGTGCTCAGGGATCACTCCTGGTGGAGCACAGAGGATCATATGTGGTGCCAGGGTTCGACCATAGCTCATTGTACCTGGCTCAGTCATGTATAAATTATGAGCCTTATCCCATGTACTATCTCTCTGGTCCAAAAACTCTTTTTAACTCAGCATAATGTTTAACAAAATTCTGCCCATGTTCACCCACTGTAAAATTATTCTTCTCATAGAAAAGAATTATATAAACCTCCCCTGCACACATACCCCTCCCCCGATTTTTCTTCCCAGGATTCAGGGCGTAGAAATGTCATCTCAATTAAGAAGCATTTATTCCTCTAGCAGACAGTTGTTGAAACTGGATTTAGCATCTCCGTTTTTATGCTAAACCAGAGGAATAAATTAACCTGTGCTATTAATTCTTCTGGAACATTAGAGCTGCAAACAGAAACTGAGGGACGGTGAATTATTCTGAGGACAAGGGCCAGAGAGAGAGAGAGAGTTCAGTGGGGAGGTTGTTTGCCATGCATGTGGCCAACCCAGGTTAGATCCCCAGCACAGTACAAAGCCAGTACAAAGTGTCCCCAGGACAAAGCCAGGAGTAATTCCTGAGTACCACCAGGTGTGACCCCAAACCAAAATTACTCTGAAGGCATAGGAAACATAAACTCTAATCCTAAAAACATCTAATTTAGTTTCCATAAGGTAGTACATTTGGTACCTATGGAATAACATAAAAATGAAAGAATCATGAAAAAAATCTAGTGGTGCTGCTTACTGACAAAGAGTAATAGTGTCAGAAATTCAACTATATCCTCTTTATATCCTTTAAGAGGTTCCCAAAGTTATTTGACTTATTGCCTCCTTTTCAGGAGAAACACACACACACACACACACACACACACACACACACACGTTATCAGCATCCCCCTATAAATCTACTAAACGGAAAGTGCTCCGGCATCTAATTGTGTACCTGAGTCCACTCCCACCTCCCTTTATTATTCCAGCACTTCCTGGAGAATGGTGTAACTCAATTTGCCAGAATAAAGATTTGGGGGCCAGCGAAGTATAAAGCAAGTAGGAAGTTTGCCTTGAATGTGGTTGCCTCGGATTTGATCCCTGGCATCCCATATAGTCCCCTGAGTTCAGAACCAGTAGAAAGCCCTGAGCACTGCTGGGTGTGGTCCACAATAAAAAAAAATCATTTGTAAAAAAAAAATCCTCAAGCCTTAATAATTTTATGTATTAATTTAAATACAACTTATGTATTGCTGAGGGCTGGAGCAATAGCACAGCGGGTAGGGCGTTTGCCTTACACACAACCAACATGGCCGACCTGAGTTCGATTCCTCCGCCCCTTTTGGAGAGCCCGGCAAGCTAGTGAGAGTACCTCGCCCTCACAGCAGAGCCTGGCAAGCTCCCCGTGACGTATTCGATATGCTAGACACAGTAACAACAACGTCTCCAATGGAGATGTTACTGGGCCCGCTCGAGCAAATTGATGAACAACGGGAGGACTGTGACTATGATGTATCACTGTATCACTGTCATGTCATCCCATTATTCATCGATTTGATCAAGTGGGCACCAGTAATATCTGCATTCGTCCTAGCCCTGAGATTTTTTTTTCCCTTTATTTTATTTTTTTTTTTACAGTTGTAGATTTACAATTTTTTGTGCTTTGGTTTCAATTATACAATGATCAGATACCCATCCCTCCACCAGTGCCCATTTTCCACCACCATGGATAATATCCCTCCCACCCCCCATCCCCCCATCCCCCCCTGCCTCTGTGGCAGGGCAATCCCCTGTGTTCTCTCTCTCCTTTTGGGTGTTGTGGTCTGCAAAAGAGGCATTGAGTGGCAAACATGTTCAGTCCATAGTCTACTTTCGACATGCATCTCCCCTCCTGGGAGGATCCTCCAAACATCCTTTATTTGGTGCTCCCTTCTCTATCTGAACTGCCCTTTCCTCTAGGATACCCAGCTGGCCTCTAAGTTATGGAGTAATCCTCCTGGTGCTGATCTCAGCTATTCTTGGGTATTAATCTCATACTTTGTTACTTTATATCCCCCAGATGAATGCAATCTTTCTATGTCTATCCCTCTCTTTCTGACTCATTTCACTTAGCATGATATTTTCCATATTGTACCACTTGTATGTAAATTTCATGACTTCATCTTTTCTAACAGCTACATAGTACTCCATTGTGTAGATGTACCA